CCAACAGTGTTATCGTAATGGATAATGCGTCATATCATTCTGAACAGTACGACAAAGTTCCAAATTCATCGTCAAACAAAGAAGAAATTCAAAAATTTTTAGAACAAATGGATTTATATTATCATCCAAGTTACACTAAAAAAGAATTACTCGAAGTGTTGCGGTCACGAACTTATGAAAAACAATTTAAGGTGGACAAAGTCGCTGAAGAGGCGGGTCACACAGTTTTGCGACTTCCTCCCTACCACTGCATCTTCAACCCCATCGAAATGGCTTGGAGTCAATTGAAATCGTTTTTAAGGCGAAATAATAACGTGCCCACATTTGGTACAGGAACCACTGACCTGATCAAAAAAGGAATTGACCGCATTACCAAAGAATGAAATAAAACTTTTTAAATTACCTACATACTAACAAATTTTTTTAAGTCCGGACCATTCTGACGTGCTGCCGCATTCTATCCTCACTGATATTGTTATTTACAACCACCCTAATGTCTTATTGTTAAGAGTAATTCGGGTACCCGACTCAAGATTTACGACAGTTCAAATATCGTGACGAGAAGTATACTTAAAATTTTTCTCTAGGGCGCGAGTTCTGACACACTCTGTATAATACTACATCAAACGAATATCAATTTCAGACTATATTTTTTCCATGGCTAAAATTTAAAAACAATTTGAACAAATTTAACCAAAAATTTATGACTGTCTAGATGGTGTCACCAGTGACCAATTCTAACACTTACTGTGTGAGAATATTCTCGCAGTCTCGCATAGCGTTACTTTTTGAACTTGTAAAGATTATCTCTGCTCCCTCTTGTTATTATTTAAAAATAGTTATCCGGATGCTACCTATAATTATAAATTCGCATCCTAACATTCTAGTTTTCAAGAATGGCTTTCCGCTTTTATTTTGTATATTATTTAATCATGATGGATATTATTAAAAGAAATTGTTTTGAATTACATACCATTCATTTAGCTTATTGAATAACGAATATTATTTTACGTATTTATTGAATCTATTCAATTAACAATTAACAGTTTGTGAATGCGAATCTGAAGTGTTATTTATTTTCCAACCAGATTTGATTGAGCCACTCCAGTCCACTGCACGAAATCACGACTTTCGATCAGTAACAACGAACAACCAACAATTTTTTATCATAATTCATAACCCGTTCACTCCGTCATTTAATTTGTAAACGCAAATCTCCACTACCGTTTTCCCGCATGAGCTCCTCCACTACCCAACAAAAGAACTTCTTCCGCCAGTTTCCTGGTTATTTAGCAACTTCTGCAGCATCGTTCTCTTTTTTCCAACTTTGATGTCTGCAGAACGGTAAGAATTTATAGAACACCGAAAGCTCCGGCAAGCATTCAACAAGTTGTTGGCCTGGGGCGCCAAAACAGCGTTCGCCGGGGCACAAAGAAGCCTCTTGGTGCTCTCTTATTGGTCCTTCGCGGATGCTGTGCCCGAGAGGCAGGGGGCTGCCTGCGGCTGCGCGACTCTTCAGTAGTCCACCGGCCGTTGTATAGAACGTGTACTTTCCGACAGCGAAACGAAAACTCGCGGACGTAATACTACAAGTGAATATATTTTTTTCGGGAAAAAAAGTTGAGGGAGGATTTAGCTCGATGTGGGCTGTTTACGGTGATTATGTGCAGTGTCATGTGGCGATTATTGTGTAGGAGCATGACCCATGGATATTTATTACAGTTCTTTCTGCTGCTACTCAACCTGCTACAGGTAATTAGTTTTCTTAAATTTGGACCGCGGGGAAGTACCAATTTATTGGCAAAAGGGCAATTGGCGGGTAGTTCCCACGCCAACCCGCCGGTTTTATTACGACATATTAGTTATTATTAGTCTCATAATGATAATAATACCAATTAAATTCCACATACCCATTAACTGCATTATCCATATAATAAATTGTCTGAGATGAATTAATTTACTTTTACAAAATTTATAAAATAAAGTTTTCACCTTTGTATGTATAGGTATGTACAACCTATGTACCATATGAAATTTAAAGAATACCATAATCCATTGGGCTCTGTATTATATCGGGTGTGTTAAAAAAGTCGGACAGGCTTAAAGGTGTAAAAAATACATCATCAAAGAGAAAAAAATAAACCGAATGTTTAGTTATTGGTCATTCTTAAATGTACAATACCTGCTTGAAGTCCATGAAAAAACCTGGCAATAAATAATAAATTCTTAAAAGGACAGCGAAAATAATTTCATTTACAATTTATAAAATTGCTCTAAATAAACATTATAAAATTTTCCCGCTCAACCATGAGAAATCTAATCAAATTAATTAAATACATATTTTTTTATGAATAAGAAAATCGGGCTTTATGCATCCAACATTTAAATTATTTTGCCATGTTACCAAAGAGACAAAAAATAGTACTTCTACATTGTATTTGTGAATTTGTCAAAATTTGACAATTTCTTGCAAATTAAAAAAAACTAATACCTTTGCAATAATGAGTTTGTGTGCTAGTGAATAAGTACAACATTCGTTTAGCACTAAGAGAACAACAATACAATAGATCAATTATTATTAGGTATTTATCAAAATTTTATTTTTTTTCAAAGTTCTTAGGTCACTATTATAGTAACACTTATCAAACGTAAAAAGGTGTTTTTGAACTGTTTTGCCGTTTTTCTTTATTACTTTAAGAGTTTTACACTCATTTTTATAAAATCGTTTTCTGAGTGTGACCACCTCCCATGTCGCGCCTGTCCAGCCTTTTTGTCACACCCGATGTATTGCTTCAGTAATTAACTTTTCTTCAAGATTTTATTTTTGAATGTGTTTGTAATTAGATAAAATCAACTCTTCAATTTACGGGTTGTGGATCATCATAAACTTTTGTCAATATAAATTTTGTGCTGAGGTGTATTTATATTATATATTTTTTTGAAATCCCAATATACGTACATAAATAAAGATTTGTTTTTATAAACTTATTCTTTTTTTGTACAATACATACATATTTTCATTTAAAATTACTAGTGTAGTGTTAGTAAAACCTGAAGTTGGTTGGTATCCTAAAATATTTTTTTTCTGTAGCATTAATAGTTCTGGTAAGAATTTTGAGGAAGATGAGAGATCAAAATATACACATATATGTAAATTAAAATAAATCCGAATTAGATTACCTGAAATATGTACATATTTCTTTTATAAATTTATTTCTCAGAGGAGCTTTTGCCGTTTAGAAACATTTAGAACATGGTTTTACCACATTCTGAAAATTTAAACATAATAAATTATTTCATGACGTTTTTAATTATTTACGTAAATTAGGACACTCCTGACAGTTTTCAAGAACAGAAAAAGTGAAAATATTATTTTTAGTTACACAATCTGAATATTTTTCTCAGTAGTTTTGTTAAGTGTTATATTTTTAAGGATACGAAACCCGTAATCGCTATCTTGAAAGTGATTTACTCGTAATTATAGTGAAATATGTACGTGTAGTTTTGAAGAAAATAAATTAAGGCACTTGAATTTCTTGAAAAATATTTATTGAAGGGTAAAAAAGGTCTGTTATTGCAATAAAAAGTAATCAAAATACTTGTTGAGATTAATTTGTTACATTTTTGTGAACTTTTCCATATTTTTTTTTAAGGTTTGAACAAAATAGTGTTTTTAGTTTGTCCCAGTATTTTATTTAACAACGATTGGCATTTCAGTAAAAAATAAAAAACCTGGGTTGATTTTAGACCTCCCGTCAACAGCCCCGCGCGACAATAAACAAATGACATTCGTCAAAGCCATCTTAGATCTTCAACCGAGATTAATGTGTTTTTGTATACGTTGTGATGGTTCTATAGTAGTTTTTAAAGTTGTTTATCTTTGCCTTCCATCTTTAGTCACTCGAAGTGGTAGTCGAGACAGGTTTTCGGAAACTATTTCTTTTTAATAAGGTCTAGAAAAAGCTTATCTTTACACAGAAATTTGTGATATTATAAGGACATTGCGTAAATTTTTATGACTCTCCTGAAAACGGTGAGATGAATGAATATTTACTTTTGCGGATTCTTTTATCGGCTCGGTTGTTGATATGGTGGCGTCTCCTAAACCCAAACATAGACCCAGGAGTTTATTTGTGCGGTTAATTAATAGTACTTTGCCCGAGGTGAATAATCTAATTAATTAGTCAATTAACTTCGATTTGGTTTTTCAATAAACACGTAAATTCTGAATTTGCTATTCGCAGAAATCAATTAGTCAAGGAATTGACCTACATTAACCCGCTCTCTAGCTATCGAGGAAGAATTCTAAAAATAGGATTTAGTAGGAAATGAATTAACCTAATTGCAGGTAATGAATGTGTACAATAACCCGTTAAAGCGCGAACGTGAAATCTTCATTTAATTTACAAAATTGCTTATTAATGAGCGGTGGCTAATTAAGTCGCTCATTCTTATCCAGAAGTAGCTTTACAGAAGAGTGCCCCCTTATCTTTATTGTTTATGTAACAAACGCCATCCTTTTACTTTCCTTTCGGTGTTGGTCTGATACACGGGAATTTTATGGCTTCCTCTTATGTATATTTTTTAAAGAGCTTCTTGCAGAAGAACGTCAACTCGCTCGTTCTTTCGAATAGAACCTAATTCGAGTGGTGGGAACATCACGACTAATTTTGTAAATATTTTATGTTTGAGACACGGAAAAGAATGATCCAGATTAACTCTAAAAAGGTTAATCTGAACGTTAAACTTTTGAATTAAAAATGTTAGATTCGTTCAAGGTCGAGATGAAATGGGTGACGGAGAATGTTAGGAGAATACTAATTAATAAAGTTCATGTCGATTTTGGAAACAAATAGGAACTCGTGTATTCAGTTTTACATTTATTTCGTGCGGGGACTAAATAATTGTGTTTTTTTATTACCAAGACATGATTGGGTTTATAAAAGTGTGTTTGAACGACGACCAAATTTAGACGATTATTTTTGAAGCCAAGAATAGAGGAATGCTTGTGGTTTTATTTTTGAATTATTTGCGAGAATTTCAGGAATGGGGTTACTAGTGAAATTCTCCAATATTAGAAAACAAATCATCTCCAAAGATGAAGTTGTCTATTTTTATATTTTTTATATAATTTGCAAAATCATATTATTTTCTAGGTATTTTGTTTGAATATTTTTTTTTATAATCATACCAACAAGGAAAACGGGATATAATCCAGAAGACGTGCTCAGAAATGTCTACCTTGTTGAAAAGATATTTTTCTAGTTATAAACAGAAGTTTCTTAAGACAATTACGATTATTTTCGTTGGATTATTTTGTAAATAATGTAGCACTGTCATATAACTAACTGGTTAATAGATTATCAAAGCGTTGAACTTATATATGTCGTTTTGCCACCTTAAATTTACTACTAAGATCTATGATAAATTGATAACAGAATTATTTAACTTAAAACAGGTCTATCAATGATTGCACAAAAGGGGGTTGTGGTCAGGAACTAAATTTTTGACTTCAGGGCTGTGTTTGGATTAAAGTTAGGAGGTAAACATACTAAAAATTTGCAGTCCACCGAATTGAGCGGGGCGAAGGGCGACCCCAAGAGGGTGCATTTTATGGTTTCTCGTTTGTATCTCGAAAACGGTGAGTATTACGAAAAAAATGATTTTGTAGATAATTTTAGATTTTTTGTATCTTAAATAGTTTTCGATTTACCTATGAGCTAATAAATGTCATACCTACTCTTTAAAAAAAAACAATTTTTTTGTGTCACATCAAGGTGACTAAATCTGAAATTAACAGCAAAAATGATTGTGTGTGTTGGTTGCAAATTGTACTGTGTGGCCCCTGTAGCTTGTAGAAAACACTCTTTTCTTGCCTTCCTGCACCTCCTTTCAAGAAAGTGAGGTTAGGTTTCACGTCTTTCATGACTTGCGAATTATTTTCATAAATATTCAGTTTCAAAAAGTTTTTTATACCCGAACGTATCTTCAGGGTCAATTTATGTTGTATTTGTTAGTACTAATACACTAAAACACTTATTCCTGTTTCTATTAAGGTTTTATTTCACAATCACGAACAACCAAACGTTAGGTACAAATTCTCCGTCACAATATTCACAATAAAGAGTACATAGCATGGTGCATAGGGAATACACAACATTTTTCAATTAATCTAAAGTGTAAAGTGATTGGCTTTTCACTTTATTATAATGGGCGACCTTAAACGGACCAATCACGTCATTGCATTAACTTTTTGAATGAATTTGGAAATCTAAAGAGATTGGTTTTTCACATTATTATAATGACCGACCTTAAATGGCACAATCACAATGGTTACAACTTATACAACTTTACATTAATTCATCTATTTGTTTCATTAATAGATTTTTTAGTCTCTTTCAAATATAAAAACGCAAGAAGACTACTTTGTAGAAAATTTTATAACCTTTAGGTAATTTTGTACGTAATCATTTGTTTCCTTGCGAAAAACCATAAAATAGCACCTTCTTGGTGCTGCATTTTACTTACCACGGACGATTAGTAGGTAACTTACAAATATCTACAGACCTAAGTAAAAAATTGTGTTCTCGACCATGCATTTTGCAACTTTTCCGTTCACTGGACTAAGTTTAAAAATTAATTAAACATTTTAAAATGGGTTCTGGACTTTATGTACACATACTATAGTTATGAAAAATACTTGTAAACACTTTTGTCTTTACTTACAAATACATACAAATATATTAGAAATA